AAAAAAATGAAAATTCATATAAAAACACAACCAATTTAACACACATGTTGAAAAAAACTCAAGTTGTAACTCCATTCTGTACTTTCTCAAACATGACCAAGAAAAGAATTACAAGTAGTAACGCTATGTCAAGAAGAAGAAACTATGAACAGTGGGCTCGGGGAAGCTACACAGTATCACTGCACTACACGTATGTGCAGAATTCAGCATGTGCCAGCATGGAAAACTGTCTTGCACTGAGGTTTTCCAAGAGGTACAACGAGCCTGCCAAGAAACATCTGGTCTGTACTAACAGCTTGCTGTCTTCAGTACAGGCCTTCATAATGTCAGTCACGCTGCTCTTGCAAAATCCCCTAGTGTAAAAGAGTTTGAGTAGCTATGACCTATGTGTGGATGTGGGATTGAATCCATAAGAGTTTGAGTGGCTATGACCTATGTGTGGGTGTGGGATTGAATCCATATGCACGTTGAGCTTCATGTCATTGTCAAGAATTTGAACAAGCTGTTGCATGGATGGAAGATGTCCAGACTCCAGCTTAGACCACACTGGCACATCATTTAAAGTTATCTCAAATGCACCTGTTGACATACACTGGTTCTCGATCATGTTGCTCAAGAAGAAAACCATCATACATGCATAAACCTTATTTTCTTGGCCCCACTGCCAGATGCTAGGAGCTTGCATGCCGAAAAAAACAAAAGGATCTTTGCCAACAATTATTAAGCCTATTAATACTAGTTTGAAGACTGACAGGAAAGATGCTATGTGTCTATAAATTGGTTGAGGGAGATAATTCTCTCCTTCAATGCGGATGTCTGGATAGCGCTGGCTAATAACCCGCATGTACTCCTCAAACACCCGCCTGTACCCTCAGGATACACAAATCTGGAACTTGAGCAGCGCGGCCCCATGGCGTCCTGCATCTTTAGTCTCTTGCTGGGCACGCCACCCAGGTTGGCAGAGGCCTCACTGCAGACCATCGCCGACGCTGCCACCAGCAGAAGCAGCAGGAGCCTCAACTTAATTGAGACAGCCGCTCCGGCCGCTCTGGTTCCCATTTTTAAATAAGGTTATTTGGTTCT